CAGCAGAGAGAGCGAGAGTGTAATGTAATCTCAAGAGTTTATATAATCTCAGGCATGCAGGCCTTGGTAAGCACATACATAATAAGAAGTGGTTGTACAAGAGGCATGCATGTGACAGGAAGGCACACATGTATCAAGATGGGTGGGCTCCAGAGTCAAGAAGGCAGCCCAACCTTGGTCTTCTGAGTTGGCTTGACCTTAGATGTCTTTTAATTTTTCTCCAGGGGAACAATCTATGGATCCTTATCAAAAGGGAGCGTGTCCTACTTAGTGTGGGACAGACAATGGGGTTTGATTGCCTTATGTGACTGACAACCTTTAAGCAGATAACCTTCAAGCAGTTGACTTTCAAGTGTATATGGTGGCAGCCATGTGCTTGCAAGTAGCACCTTAAATTTGGCATTATTATGGGGTGCGAGGGGGGGGGATCGTGGGGAATAGATTTATTTAGGAGAATGTGAGTGGGATGCATCTCCAACCCATGAACCTGAAGGTTTCCTCCATGGGAGTCTTGGCCTCCCAGACTTCAAGTATAATTGTTGGCAGTTTGCCCGCATAATCTTTTCTCGATTGTTTCCCACAAAAACTAATTTAAAATGTGTCAAAGGGAAGAACAAAATGATCAGGTGTTAAAATGTAACCTAACTCCATCTGCATTAGTCCACATTCAAATGCAATATGTTGAAGCCCCCCTTTATGTAGCAAAACCAGTTACCATCAAGTTGGCTTAGACTCATGAGGGTCCCTTGGATATTAAAGTAGAATGTGCTGCTTAGGGTTTTCAATGACTGGATGTTTAAAAATATATCATCAGGGTTTTTTGTTTCTGTTTTTTCTGAGTTGCCCCTGAGGCAGTGGTTCTCAACCTTCCTAAAGCCGTGACCCTTTAATACAGTTCCTCATGTTGTGGTGAGCCCCCCAATCGTAAAATTATTTTCATTGCTACTTCATAACTGTAATTTTGCCAAGCATGTTAACCTTTTGCACCACCTAGGAAATCAATGGATAGGGGAATTTAGAAGTTCATGAAAAAATTCCATTATCTTTTTTATCTCATTGTTCATGAACTTCTTAAAATCACTTGTACAGATGTGTGTGTGTGTGTATGTATTCGTGTAAAATATCTAACATACATATGTCAGTATTTATAAATAATAACTGTCAATAGATTATGATATAGCTGATAATTGAAAAGCTATAAGCTTATTTTTTCAGCAATATTTTTCATTATAAAATAATTATCAAAAGCATCCGTTTTATAAAATTAATTCTTATCATTCTTAGGCTATTGCTTCTTATTAATGTGAGTGAAATAAAACCGTGGAAATCAGTTCAAGATTTAATACAGATAAATTATAATGAAGATTGCTACTCTTACCTTTTTGCATGATTGCAAAATTGTAGGTTACATTTTATCATGAATTCTGATTCATGGCTACTCAATTTGTTTCAGAGTTGAACTGCACATAGGATGACAATAGCTATTGACCTTCCAGAAGTAGATGACCTTTCAGTCAGTAGCTAAGCACATAACCAGCTCTGCCACCTGTTGTCTCCTTGTAGGGAAAACAGCAGCACAGTTGTGAATATTGAGAGAAACCTAATATATATTTGATGTATTAGAGTGAGTTTTAAAACCTGAGATCTAAAATTGCATCTGGCTACAAAATACTGGGTGTCATAGCCAGTGGCCCCACTATGTTCCAGCATCTCAAACTGTTTTACACATGAGGTATATTAAAATTAGGTGTGTGTTTGAAAAGTAGGTATACAGTGGGATGTGATGGAAAAGGCATAAAACAATCTTTCGGTTTTAAAATGTTTTTTTTTTTGTCTTATTGTCCCACTTTACTTGTGTCTGTAAATATATTTTTAATTGTGGCAAAAATATACTCAACAAAACATTCTTCAATTCAAGCACTTCGACATGTATAATTCAGTGCCATTGATTATACTTTTTGTGGTGTGCAAACACTATTGATATCCTTTTCCAAATTATTTCACCAACATTAACATAAATTCAATGCCCCCTAAGCAAATTCTCTTCCTCCTTCATCCATGGTAAGCATGTGTCAAGTTTGGTTAAAACAATCTTTAACACGTGTATTACACAATATGCTTAGAAGTAGATTTATTCAATTTAATTTATGTACATTTCTTCTTTTTATTTCTTCTCCCTTTCCCATTTCACTCTTTTCTTTTTTATTCTTTTTTGACTCCTTCAATATTGCCACCAGATGTATGCAGACAAACGATAGCTATATGTATGTTATAGAGAAAAGCAAGGTACATAATTTACAGATTCTCTTAAATAATATCATACAATTCAGTATTGTAAATTTTGTGCTTCAATAATATCCAAAGATTGTTTACTGGCTACAATTAATACGCACCAAGGATAGTTTAGTATGTGATTTAGCTTCCTTTAGAAAATGAAGCAAACAAGATCCCTCCTTTATATTACTTAAAAATGAAATTCAGTTAATAGTAAGAACCAGTGTGAGTTAAGCAGCAAAATAGAACACTGCAAACACGTGCTGACCTTGAATAAGGACGTATGCTACTGTCGTGTTACTGATGTTAAAGAGCATATTGCAGCAGGCATTTTATGTGACATTTATGTATGTTGGATAGTTGGCTTATAGTTCTTCTGAATGTGGGATTCTGCCTTTTGTAAATTGTGCTAATAAAATTTTATGGGATAGTTCAGTAAAAGAGACATTTTAGAAGTTTGGTTTTCTGATTATTGCCCTATTTTGAGAAATTAACTTGATGTATGATTTTATTTTTCTATTTTCTGAATAAATATAGTTTTGTACTATTAGACTGGTAATTTACATCTTATGAGAGGATGATCCAGATATCAGCATGCTAATTGTATAATTCTGGAAGAGAGCACTATTTATTCTTATAATTATTAAATGAGATGTACAACAATATAGGTTGTGTTTTCAATTAAAAGACATTAAAGATCATTTTAATGAAATCTGTACATTAAAAAAGTGAAAAGAACCTAAAATCAAGGGCAGGGTGTATGACAAAGAGCCTTTAAATTCTAGAACATAGCTGATAGCAAAAATATTCTGTAGGCAGAATGTGTTTTTTCAACTTTGGCTTTTTTCCCCCAATTCTGGTTGATGTCCTTTATTACAGTACTATTAAGACTATGATTTATAACTCACATGAATATAATCAGCTTCATAAAAGAAAAAGAGTCTTAAAACTTGAACCAAAATGGTTTAACAAAAATCACTTGCTTCACACATTGCATGTTGTTGGATAGAGTAAGGCAATTCTCAGGTATATTTTTTATTTTCAATCTCCGGTATTTCTGACCATTTACAAGTTGGACTTTATTGAGTTCAGTGTGATAAGTTTTCTACCATTTTTCTCATTCATGTGTAATGGGCTGCTCAACCACACACGGGCAGCTCAAAACCACTAGTTAGCTGCTCCTGGAGAGAACGATAGTTTGCTGTTCCCAAAGAGTATCACAGCCTCGGAGACTCACAGGGCAGCTGTACTATACCTGATAGCCTTGCTACTAGTAAGACTTGGCTCGAGTCAGTGAGTACTTTTATTTTTTAATATTTTCTTTAATGATGTGAAATAAGCACATTCAGGCATGTGTGGATAAATCTTATAAAATGCTCTCCTTCAATATAAAGCCAGGGTGAATTGTGCAATATTTGCACAGTGAATTTAGGGTAGAAATCACACAGATTTTTTAAAAGATCATTAATGAGAAAAAGAGGAAATACAGAAAGCTTTGTGAAAGCCAGTAGGTGGCCAAAAACAACAGCAGGTGTAGCCATATGGCAATCAAATTAGAACAGGGATTTTTGCCACAGTGCCTTCCAGAAAACACTAAAGCCAGCAGCAGCATGGAGTGATGATGTGTGCAGTACAGTTTAAGTGTTTCATGTGGCCCTCTTCACTGTGCAGTACAGAAAGGAATTTGAATCTATTGTACCAAATTATTGAAATATTTTCTTAAAGTAAGCAAATAGTACATTCTAGAGTAATTTTACTCTCCCAGTTGGAGATCATCATGGCAAAGCAAATTTTCCATGTTTATTTCTAAATCAAGCATTTTAATACCATAGAAACATTTAAGTACAGTCCATTTCCTGTTTAGATCACATAAGAAACTATGTTTGTATATTTATTATGTAGATGTTTTCTTCTTAAATTATGCCTCAAAACAGAAAATAATTCAAGATATTATTTTTAATATCATGTGTAATTTGTTTAAAAGTTACATTAATTTTTCTCACAACCAGTCACTTTCATTTTGCCTTTCTGTCATACTGAAGAATGAAAATGTAATTTCCCATAGGCTTTAAGAATCGGGGGAGTATTAAATGTAGCTGAAATTAAGTGATTAATAATTTACTTTTGAGTCATGAATCAACTTCATGGGATCTTAAGGATCATTTGCCGCCACAGACGCACTAGCAGTAGCCATGCACTTTTTAAGACTTGAGAACTCTCACAGGTTGGCTGCCCAACCTAATTAAACTTTAGTCTTCGGATACCAAATTTATTTCTTCTTTGTTACTGAATTTCTTCAGATCTTCTTGACAGGAAAATGTCACTTTGCCTGACAGCTGATAGACAGGTTCTGTAGCTCCATAATTGGAGAGAAACGGCTAGCTTGGAGCAACTTGATTTAATGGCAATGTGTATGGCGTCTTCTTCCTTCCTTTTTTCCATTTCCTTTTTTTTTAAGGTTCTATGACAGACACAAAAAGCTAAAGCAAATAGGCCCAGTGCCATTTTCCCCCTGCTTCCTCTAGAGGTAATTATCTCACTCCATCAATAGTGCTGTCAGAAACTGGGCACATAATTCAGCATTTAGATGAACAAGCAATGGAATATTTCCTGTCTCCCAGGGGAATGCTCTGCAGCGCACATTCTTCTCTGTCACTCGCTCGCTCGCTCTGTGGATGCCCCATACGCAATCCTTGAATGCCTCCTCTCCTTGTGTTTCATGACAGATGCTGGCTCCGACTTGACACCTACTTCATTTGGAGTTTTATAGGACCGGCGACCTTGATAATTATGGTAAGAGCTACTAATTTACTCTTATGTTTGCCACCCACATCAAGATATAAAATATCCACTGTCCTATTTCTGTATATCTGAAATTTACACGGGTTAATTTGGTGAAAGCTTTTACTCATTTGACTTTACATAGCTCTAGCAATTAAGTCACTCATTACTGTACATTTTTACAACATAAAAAGTTGATCAAAAGCACTGGGAGAAGAAAACATGCGAGAGTTTATGCAATGCTGTGATAATTCATGTGGCCCACCTAGCATAATTCAGTCAATTCGTAGACATTTGAAAAATGAGGACTAGGTTTGATTAAGACTATCTTTGTTTGCATTCTAATTTGAAGTAGAAATAATTTCAGAAATGGGCAAATAGAACACACCTTACTGTCTCTTCTTTTCATTTTCATATAAATATGAAAAAACCCTTAAATATAAAAAGACTCCAACCAACAAAGGCAAAACAAAAAGGGGTGAACGGGGAATCATGTTTCCCTTTTTATTTTTAGATGCATCATATCTTGATTCCAAATGAGAATTATTCTTCCTAATTTAAATAAAATTATTTGTATGCTAAGTTTATAGATAGAATTTTAAAATACAACATCATTGTCCTCTTTTTTCCCCCAAATAAAAATGTGACCCTCATGAGTTGAAATTAAATATATGTATAAAATTCCTCATCTGAAATCCTTGAGACCAGACATATTTTGGAATACAGATTTTTTTTTTTTACTTTAGAAATGTTCATGTAGTGCGTATTACCTAATGACTCTGGAGGGGAAGAGGCAGTTGGGTAACATCAAACATGTTAATTAATGCTCTCAGTAGGGACAGGTTTCATGCTTGTACCAAATGCAGCACTGTTTAAGAACAGAAAACTAGGAATAAGAGGAAGACAGAGCTTAAACCAATTCAAATATTATTTACCCACCAGTAGATTCTGTTTATGTGAGGTGTAGGGAGTTGTATGTGTGTGTGGCTTTGTTGTTGTTGTTTTGCCTCCAAATTTGTATTTTTAAAACTTTCCACTTTTCTGACTTTTGAGTGTGTTCTTCCAACACTTCAGGAGTGTTTCATCCCAACATGATGGATGTGGACCTGCAGTGTTGGGAGACTTTCAATGGCATTTATAATTGGACTGCCCTAGTCTCTACCAATCTCAAACTGTGGAACACATAAGTATATAAAGAAATAAGATGGCAAAGGGCAATTTAATGTGTTTTTATATACCGTCTGCATGAAATGATATATGGAATTTATATTATACCTTTTGTTTTGTTTTCAATCACATGCTTTCTCTGCTAACTGATCTTGAGTGTAATTGGGAGTTACTGCTACTTTACTAGTAGTTTGTGAGAGCATCAGACTTTAACCAGCTTTTTATAATGTCAGCTATTTTAAAGTATATTGCTTTTAGTATTTTTGTTATAGAATATTTGGGGCTGTATTCAGTGTATAAAAATAATAACGCATGTAGAATAATTATTCACTGTTTTTCTTTAAAAACATAGACTTATAAAAGGGGTATGAGCTCTTTCAAAATATCTGTAGCAGCATTCCAAATGGCTGCTGATTTTGCATTTGTGTGTGTTTCGCAAAATAGTGCTTTGTAACTCAGGGGTATCCCAATTCCCCAAGCTGGCTTCTTGCCTTTGCTAAAATACTTGGCAATCATTTATGACCCAGTCTTTAAAAGTTTAGTGAGAGCTAATTTCCCAGAACAGCTCATCTGTTACAGAGAATGGACTTATGTTTCTTCTACTCTAGTGATGCTACATAACTCTACCTTTTCTTCTCCAGCTTAATGTAATCTTCCTTGGGATTGCTTTATATAAAATGTTTCATCATACTGCTATACTGAAACCTGAATCAGGATGTCTTGATAATATCAAGTAAGTGATTTTTCTTTTTGTTTTCCTTTGGCTTCTTTACTTTCGTACTCTAAAATTTTACATGTGTTTTATCTATGCTTCGTATTTATTCAAAACCTTGTTGTAAAAGAGCAAAGAAGACTATCCTCTTTCGTGAAGAAAGTCTGATATGGTAATAAATGACTTATTATTATTTGCTGGTGAGATGCTGAAGTGACTTGGTCTGTCTGAAAATAAATACAGAGCAGTTCTGTCTGCAGATAGACTTTCTATTTACCTTATGAACTGTGACTTATAACAGGGTAAGTTTTTAATACCCATACTTGCCTATTTTGTTTTAAAGCAAACTCTACATTTTTACCTCTGAGCAGACAATTAATGCTAAGTGCAATAACTCCATCAGTTTCCTCTGCTCTCCTTCCTTCAGAGCAATGTCATACAAGCAGATGTGCTGGTGTGTGAGCATGCCAAAGGGGGGTGCTGCCCCACAGGGGGAATCTCAAGATTGTGTGATTGGTGTTTGGTGAGTGCTGCTGTACAGCACGCTCTTCTTAGAGAGACCAGGGGAGAGAGAGACTTACCTCTCTAATATAAACAGATTTGGGGGAACACAAACCAGTGAGCCTCCTCTTTTTTGGCTACTAAATATGAGGAACTTCAAAAGTTAATAGAAAATTTCCATGATCCTTTAATTCCATTTGTCCAGGAACTTTCTGAAGCCCTCTTGCACAAACATGAGCTGCCCTTTGGGTTCTGGTGTTTCTTCTCCCTTGGAATATTACTGCAAACCTCCTGGACCGAAAAGCTCCTCAGTGGTGTCTCACTGTTCAGTCTGTTTTGACTTTCAAGTTTTGTTCTTTAACCCTAGGTTCACTTTTATATGTTCAGACACTCATATCCATGCATAAACATGAAAATAATTGCATCACTTTCCAACACTTCTATCTCTAAAAAGATGCCAAT